GCATTATCAACACTTCAACAGATAAAGCATATGAGCATATCATCACTACAATGGGAGAGCATATGAGCTGCATCCCTTGGTCCATCCCCCATCTTCCCTTAACCATCAACCGGTTTAGAGGTACATCCCCCATCTTTCCCTAAACCGTGGGAGTACATCCCCCATCTCCTCCATACACAAAGCAATGCATATAAACACAGAATCATATACATAATCAATCAATACATAAAGTTAATTATTCTATCAACGTCTACACATAATGCATATAAACACATTGGTCATATATACACTCAATCCAATACATAAATTTAATGTATTCTACCAACCGTCATACTCTTATGACACATCCGATTGATTAGGTTTTAGTTTGCCTAATCATCATGCATTGTCCTATAACAATCAATACTACTCTCCACGGTAGCCCAGAGCAATTATTTCTAAACAGGAAATAAATGCACAAATGGATAGTATATCAACATTTCAATTAGGTCAGCAATAAGTGATTTAACTACACCCTTTAGTCCCATACGTTCCCAATTTCAACATTTTCAATTCAATTCCTCATTTCCTTTAATCAATTATATACATTAAGTAATTAAAACAATTAGGGCAAATTATAATTAACAAAACAACTCTAAGGTTCCACTTTCATCCACAATCCATCATCCAACTCATTCCCCTTTTTACCAAACTTGCATATAGGTTTTTTCCAAACAAAACCCCAATTTTTGTAAAATTACACAAAAGCCCAAACTTTCTCAAATCTACCCAACAACACCCAACATATCAAAATGCTAAAATTAAAGACAAAATCCATAAGGAGGAGTAGGATATCCCTACCTCGAATGATGTGTCCCAACGAAGGAGATGAAGAAACGGAAATGCTCCAAATCCCGAAATTTTCAGATTAAAAGATAGCCCTCGAGATCAACACAACTTTTTGTAAAGGCCCAAGGTGAGAAAACAACTCCTACTAGATCAATCCTAAAAGAGAAGTTAGGGTTTTAGTGAGGGAACTCTCAAAATGGCTTTTTTTGGAAAAGTAAGAGAGAGAAAGAAAGTGAAAAGTGATTTAAATCACCCACGGATAACTTATATACGCACGATCCCACATCGAGCGTCAAGCACAATATTCTGGTACCGCTCGAGCGTAGGATGACCGCTCGAGCGCCAAGAAACAAAAGCAAAACACATCCGCTCGAGCGTGAAGAACCAGCCGCTCGAGTGCAGATTTTCAATTCCAGAACTTTTCAGAAGAAACCACCCGCTCGAGCGCCAACAATGCTGACGCGCTCGAGCGCAAGAAACCCGCTCGAGCGTAGAAAACACACCTGCAGAAGTTCTGCAGGGCCACGAAATACTGAAGTGTGTAAACCCGCTCGGCTTATAAGACCGCTCGAACGGACAACCAAAAACCAAACTCCCTCGAGCGCAGAATGATCCGCTCGAGCGTAACACCAAAATTCAGGGCAACAACACTAGAGACCAAAACTCAATCCACCTGTTCGAAACATGCCAACACATCCTAAAACTCAAACACTTAAGAGTAAAGGATAGAAACGAGAATAAGACGACAACACAACCACAGAACCGATCCGGATTACAGTTAAACAACCAAGGGGAAAAACCGGGATCGCTATAACCTCCCCCTTAAAGAATTTCGTCCCCGAAATTAAGGAGACACCTAAACACAAGGCCAACAGATTACAGAGCACTCAACACCTAAGCCCCAAGGAAAGAAATTACTCTCATAACAAACCTTCGATTCAGTCATACCAAGGAAGAG